TGTGAACAACCTCAGATGCTAGCGACATGGTTTGAATTACAAAAATTCAAATGCGCAAATATCGATTATTATTGGTCTGTGTTATCAGTATGGAACTGGAGTGGAAAAAGATGAACAAAAGGCAGTTGAATGGTATCAAAAGGCTGCTGAACAAGGATATGCAAATGCACAAACAAGTCTTGGTGTGTGTTATCAGTATGGAACTGGAGTGGAAAAAGATGAACAAAAGGCAGTTGAATGGTATCAAAAAGCAGCTGAACAAGGATATGCTCAAGCACAATTTAATCTTGGTGTGTGTTATCAGTATGGAACTGGAGTAGAAAAAGATGAACAAAAGGCAGTTGAATGGTATCAAAAAGCTGCTGAACAAGGAAATGCTCAATCACAATGTAATCTTGGTGTCTGTTATAATAATGGAACTGGAGTAGAAAAAGATAGTCAAAAGGCAGTTGAATGGTATCAAAAAGCTGCTGAACAAGGACATGCTCAAGCACAATATAATCTTGGTTGGTGTTATAGCCATGGAACTGGAATAGAAAAAGATGAACTAAAAGCAGTTGAATGGTATCAAAAAGCTGCTGAACAAGGACATGCTGCAGCACAAAATAATCTTGGCTGGCTATATAGAACAGGCATTAATATAGAAACAGATTATCAAAAAGCTGTTGAATTATATCAAAAGGCAGCTATGCAAGGGGATTCTTCTGCACAAGATAATCTTGGTTGGTGTTTTGAAAATGGAATGGGAGTAGATAAAAATGTTCAAAAAGCAGTTGAATTGTATCAAGAAGCAGTCAAACAAGAAAATGATTATGCATATGTTAGTCTTGGTTTATGTTACAAAAATGGGATTGGAGTAGAAAGAGATATTCAAAAAGCTATTGAATTGTTTCAAAAGGCAGCTGAAAAAAAGAATGCATATGGACAATATAATCTTGGTTGGTGCTATGAAAAGGGAGTTGGAGTAAAACAAGATGAACAGAAAGCTATTGAATTGTATCAAAAAGCAGCTGAGCAAGGATATGTTAAGGCGCAAAACAAAGTTTATTTTTTTTATTATAATGATAGTTCTAAACTGAAAAAAAAAGTTCAAGAATTGACAGAGTTTTATTCTGTAAAAAAGTAGAAGTAAGAAATGAAATATTTATGACACAAGAGTGATTGATATTAATAATTAAATCTATTATAGTTGTGTGTTGTTGTTTTGTTGCTAAATTAGCAATCTACTTCTTTAATATAGGAAGCTAGTATTAGTGATTAAATATTTTGGTAATTGCTCATTTATATCAATACTACTACAATTTTATTCTATGAATGTATAATTTATCAAACAATAAAAACTTTTTCTACTTTATGTGGTAAGGCTTATAAGCACCTACTTTTTTTAACTTATATTTCTGAACAATCTAGAGAAGTTTGTTGTAAAACCACCAGTTTTACATGCAAATAGTATTACTAAATGTGTAGTGTTGTAACATTGTACAGTCAAACCTCGTTATATTGATTTTTTTTTGCCGAAAATTTGGTAAGGAAGCGGAGTATCAGTAGACGGGAGTTTTTTTTTACCACTAATACGTGAGTGATAACAAAATATCACTTTATCGGAGTGTTGTAAAGTTTCAAATTACCCATAATATTGTATACTATGCTTCTGTCAAAACTGCTAGTCTAATGGTAGTCCGAAAGTTGTTCCGGTCCGCCATTAAACGCCACAACTTTTGTACTTTTTGTATTGTTTATGCAAATCAATAACAAAGAATTACCTTGCGTTTTCACTTACCGCATTTGCAATAGCGCGGATAGGGCAAATTTTGTCGTTAGATGTAGATTATTGGCAAACAATGTTTAATTGTCTTTTGTTTACTCAAATAGCAGATTAAAAAAGACCCAAAGACATTAACACCCGAGAATATATAGACAATGGGGATTACTCAAGAGCCACATATTCAAAACAGCTGTAGCGGTCTACCGTAGCTGTGCCAATAAAGGACCCACTAAGTCAAGAATAACATATTCGGATGCTTTTTATCACGACGTACATACACAATTAGACAAATTTTCAGTTCTGGTTGGTTTGAATAGTTTATACTGCCAAATATAAAGGAGAAGAACGCAAACGGTTTCGGATTTCGCTTGAGAATAATTTAATGCAGTTATTTAAAAAAATTTTGTGTAATTTATTCAGCCGCATGTAAACACATATTACATAAATTGTCTATATAATATGCAAATTACAATAAATATTTAGAGTGGGAAAATTACAGTGCTTTAATACAGAAAACATTTGATGCAAATGCCCGATGTAGCGAAATTTATTGATGCAATGACTAGTGGTAGCAGTAAAATGTACGGTATAATGTTCAAAATGTGGGGAGGTGTCATTTTTCTACGCTTTTCCATTTCGATAAATTAATTAATTGTTTATACATCTATCTACTTTGCTAATTACTCCCTATACTACAGCCAGGACTTTTACTCAATATGGATATCGACGATTTTTCCATACAAAAACGATTGTTGTTTTTTTATTATTATGTCTATAGAAATCCAGAAATAGCTAAAAGTTTTTATATAACGCTGTATTTCAGTGTTTGTAATGCGAAAATCTGTGCGTTTGATCAAAAACTTTTTATAATATAAAGTTTTTTTAACAAACTTTTTTTATGACAAACTATAGCTTATCTTTATATTTGTTCAAAATAAGTTTACATAAATATATTGTAAATGGTTTTTAAAGATTGCTCGATTATTTCAGATAAAATAGATGTAAAAGTCTGGTTATTTAATTTTTTACTTCATTAACCTCACAAAATTTCTGGCTCTTCTGACACGAGACTTAAAACTGTACACTTACATACTTTGTTCCACTGACAGAGCTTTCCCTTTTAATTTAGCTATTTTTTTTTTCGTAGAACTAGACATTTTTTATCTTCGATGTAAACGAATTTATCGTTGAAATATTAGTAAACTGCGACCGTCGATGCCTGATTCCGCACCAGAGGAATACAAGAAACTTGCCGAGCGATGTTGTGATGCTAACATTAATAATTTATTAAAAAATTATGATCGGTTGACATCCAAAATGCTCTTCAAAACCGAACGTATTTATGTTCATTGTGTTTTAGAAATCGGTTCGCATACTCGTTCAGTTTATTCAGAATTTGTATTACCAGAATCAACTATGGATGCTTGCCTTGGGATTAGATGATAATATAAATTTTATTTATTAAATTACTAATGTGTAAGCATGCAAGATGTTAAATGGTTAACAAAAAGCACTACGTTTAAATTTGAAATTTACACCAATCATAGTTTCTGATTTACATTTTGTCACACACAAGATTGATCGTCTGGTTTTAACAAAAATTCGTGTGTGGTAAAATTTAAATTATTTCAACAATAATATCGTTTCTTGGTCTAGCATTATGCTGTTTGGACAAGTTTATTATAAAGTCTGTAGGTTTTTTCGATTTGATTTTATAAATAGCAATGATAAGGGTCTCGCCGTCCCCGATTATAAAGGTTTGGTCTCGGAATAATATGGAGAGAATTATCGCAACTTGTTCGTGCAAACATTTGTGAAGTGTATTTTAGGATGAAATGATTAGATGAAGGCTGTTGTTATGTAACAGCTAGAAACAAACCTCAAAATTGGTTTATCGTAAATATCGATCTGTCAACTTTTGGACTTCCGACATTTGGTTAAAATCATTTGTTTCACGAACAATTATCTCATAATTTATTTAACCGTCTATTCAGGTTCTAATTAATATTCCGTTTGTTTATCATGAATAATTATTTGTAAACAAAGCAATTTAGACTAGTGTGATTTGATGACAAAGAGATTATCATTACACGAATGCCGAGACTCATTATTTCTGCGCCATACTTAAGTAAAGTAATATCACACATCTGTCACTGCGGAGGCTGTGGTACAACTTGCTTACGTTGCTACCACGTTTGTTATTTGAAATCGAAAATTGACATTGTTTCTTTGCATTGCCTATGGCCTAATTCAAGACAATGCATAAGTTGAGCTCGGACTCGCAGATTACGTTTGTTTTTCGTAATGCACGTCATATTCACTGGTTTTATCCTAAACACAATAACACATAGCTCGCTTTAACAGTTTTCCAAATTAGGGTTTGAGTTCCAACAAATATCGGAGAATAACATCGTGTTTATTTTTTTCTTTCGGAAGCGGCTGAACTATCAGCAAATTTGTCTAGTTAAATATTTGAAAGAATAATCACTTTTGGTTTTTCATAGTTAAAGTTTCCGGCATAGGGGGATAAAACTCAACCCCTGGATGCAATTGAATGACAAAGAATGTGCCCTATTGGTTGATTGTCAGGTCGTACTGCATGAAAAAGACCCGTTATAATAATTAATTCGATGGGAAATATATAACTTTGCACGATAAGGAAGTTATAAAACCGCATCAGCTTGTCTTAAAAAAAAAACCAATTCGTTAACATGTTTGCATCAAAGTAAAAATAGTCATCTGTGTGTTCAACACACAAACACACTCTAAAGATACATTTACTTTTTTAGTAAAATGGCTTATTTTGTATTACTAAACCGAAATTATTGTTTGATTTGAGTGATCGGTCATTGCATACAACGATACTAAAAATAATTTCTATAAATAACTCGAGTCAATTCTCAGTTTTATAAGTCATACTATTTCTCTTTGCCTTGTTCGTCCCCCCCCCCCCTCTTTCAAAATGACCAGTATCCAAGACAACAATCGCAAATGGCGTTCCTTGAAACTGCGAAATCCGAAATACTTACTGATGCTTACTCTGGTCTTTTTGACAAGCTTTTACATACTCAACGAAAGTAGTATATTTAGCACAAGCGCATGGCCTCCAGAAGAAATACCGGCAGAAATACCGGAAGAAATACCGAAAGAAATAACCAAGTCATCAGACTCTTCCCAACCGACATCTCTACCCATAGAATCCGACGACACTTCAGTTCCAGAATCCTCCAGTCAACCTGAACCGACGCCATTTGCCTACCTCCCTCCAGCAGACTATGGTACCTCGTACAGAGACCGCATTGACAATAAAGGCAATTACATCGTCCCTAAAGGACCCTCGCCACCCGGTGAAAAGTACATTGCATATTTACCACATAACCAATTCAACAACCAACGCATAGCCCTCGAGAATGCAATCTTACTCGCACACTATACGAACAGAACATTAATATTACCATACGTCTATTTTGGAAGACGTAATATGTGGAAACATTTCGATACGCTGTATGCTCAAAACATTAATAATAATACTAAAGAACATCTGGAACATTGTGTCAAATATATAGGTGAAGTGGATAAATCAAAAGTACCGGTTGAATGTCGGCGATACGATGCATGGACAACCATGCCGTGGGATCATTTGTTTGGAGATCTGCCTGACTTTTTTGAAAGGGAAGGTGTAAAAGTAATCTCAACCATGAACATTTCCATAGAATGGATCATGGCCAAAACCGGTGTCAACCGTGAAGACTTTCATTACTTCAAAGATGGTGTGTACTACGGTGCTAAAATTTATGATGACCCGTCTTCCACTACGTCTCGTGGTCGCTTTCGCGCGCGGTTGAACTTGAGCGACTTCATGGAGATTCCACACCGAGTAGTGTATTTCGAGAGTATGTATGGTATCGGGAGAGTTGCGCACGAGGTAAAGGAGCACAAGGAATTCTTTACCAGGATGATCAAGTCTATGACAGTCACGTATGATGGCGTATTGCCGGTGGCGGATAAGATTATTGCACAGTTGGGGGGAAGACAAAGTTACGTAGGGATCCATGTTAGAGTGAGTGATGGATTCTTTTCAAGGAATCGTGACGCGAACATTAAGAACATCGTCCGGCAAATCAATGCTTTTGTCAACTCGTCGGGATCGTCTTTCGAAACGAGTCCATCAACGGATTTCACAACGACCGATGAATGCCTGACCAGCTATACTAATTCCACCAACATGCCGTTAATATACATGGCAACTGATCTCCACGGGACTCGGAAGCACGCGTCCTACGCACCGCTGTACAAAGCGTTTCCGTGCATCGCAGTCTTGGACGATTTCACTCCTTTCCTATCGGGGCTCGACAACATCGTTAACGAGGTCGATAAGATGCCGATGAAAAAGTTTTTGATACCGTTGGTTGACATGGTTGTTGCTGCGAAAGGGAAAACGTTTGTGGGAACGGCAAGGAGTACATTTAGTAATTTTGCGTTCAGATTACATAAAATCTATATTGAAGGGATGGCTGCGTTTGAGGACAGTAAAATTTATGCTGGCTAGTGCGAGAGGGGGGTGAATTGGTTATTTAATGGAATAGTTTATGTAACATAGATGCTGTATTATATAGACAACTGTCGTATCAAGAAGGTAATAATAAATATGTGTTAGCCTAATGTCTTTGTTTACAAAACGTACAATTTTGTCGTGGTTTTGAAGTTAACGCTTGTTGGTGTCATGATATTGGCATGAAAAATATTCATTCGCAAGTTATTGATCATAAGACGTATGATTGATACAGTGTGTGAATTATCGTGACGTTTTCTGACGAATCGAAAATGGACAATTAACAGTACGATACTGTAACTCGTCTACCCGTTTATGATCACGTGACATTTCTGACCAAATGAAATATAAAATACTGTATTACTTTACTGATTTGTTGTTACCGCTGCGATGAATGCTTTACTTTAAATGGGTAACCAGTATAATAAAACCCGTTGATGAAACATTTTAAAGTCTGCAATCCCCAACTTTTGTAGTCGCTCTCCGAACTCGGTATCTAAAATTTCTCGAAAATGTCTTATAGGCGCAGTCTTGACTGCGTCAAGTTACCCAAATTCGCAAAAAGGTTGCAATCGTCGGTTATTATTCTATTGATTTCTTCTTTCTTGGTATGCTCTTTTTAAATAAAATGGGTAGTTTAGATCGAACGTTGCACAGACTTGGCAATGACACGAAAATTAAATATTACCCAATTGATAGTGAAGATACAAGTAGTCGTAATTTTCTTTCATTTCAACACATTTACGTTTGTCCGTGCAATTCGAATAGTTTTTAAAACCATAAATTTATTGGCGAAAGTGTAACCCGAATACGGAGTCAGCTTGCTTTCCATTTCGTTGTTAAATAATCGCCATGTCAAAGATTCCAACGCGTTACTGTAGAATTTATCTCTCTATCTATAGGCTTTTGAACTAATCCCATCGAATGAAATAGACGTAGTTCTTAATAATGTAAGAGGGCATATACAAGACCGATCTAGCATCATAACGACGTTACTATCGTTTACAGATTAGCATTAGTAAAAATCTCGTAAATCTCAACTCTCATGTATAGTGCGCGTTACGCAATTTTTAATGCTGAAAATAAACCTCGGCTCGGAAATCCCAAAGGTGTATGCCGCGTTCTCCAAGCGCAACTGCGTTTGGCAGCAGTATACACCAGTTGCAAAATATTTTTTAATGGTGACTGGTACTGAAACGGAATTTAATTAAGATTGGCACGACACGTCGAAAGTCCACAAAACAATAGCAAGAGAACTTTTCGAGTAATTGGATAAAATAATTGTGCACGGAGTAAGGCAAAAAGTGAAACAAAGCTTTATTAGGAGAGAGCATGCGTAGACAACACTATGAGTGATCTGCTCGTTTTGTTGTGTTGGGAAAGTATGTATCTGCGCTCTTAACCGCCTGACGAACAACTCTGCTTACTCAAAAATGGGTGGCATGTTATAATTTTCAATGTTTTAATAGTTACTTACAAGCGCTTTCATTTCCGAACTGCTTTAAGCGAAAGAAAAATATCAGTCTCGCAATTTGAAAGAAAAATCAGCAAACATGTTAACAAGAACAGCTTCAAATAACAACAGCTAAACTTTCAGTTATGTCGGCGAGATTATGAGTACTTACATAATGACAACGGCAATTTAATGCACTTGGGTATGAGACAATGTTGTTAGGCAGTTTACTCGTACTAGAACAGTTTGTTACAAATCTTATACGTAGACAGTTTTATAATAATAAATTTAGTCCTTGTAATTTTTATGAACAAACTTGACTGTTTTGTGTTGATATCATCTTTAACTATGTAATCTTGCCGTTTTTGACTATTAAATGTTAACATCTGGGAATGTCATTCGCCTTGTGAAAGTAATATAATCTTATGAGTTACTCGTATGCCGTTGCAACCAACGTTACGTAAACGTTAATACCTTAACTGTTGCATCAGAGCATTTGCTCTCCTTTCTCGAGACGTGATACGGGCATGATGGCATTCCACATACTGTCATCCGAATTACCCTTTGCAACCTTGCGACGAAGCGAGGAAAGCTGACACAAAACTGCTTGTCCATTCTCTGGACGCTTATCAGGATCAGCGTCCCAACACCGCTCGGCAAATCTCTTGTATTCCTCTGGTGCGGAATCAGGCATCGGTGGTCGTAGTCCGCCCATAATATCGCGTATCAGATCACTATCGAATTGTCTATCAGCAAAGGGCAGTTCACCAGTAGCCACCAAATACATGATAAGACCGAAAGAATACACGTCTGACTTTTGAGTATATTTGCGGGTATAAAAGACTTCGGGTGCAGTAAAGGGTAAAACGTCATGAAGGTTTGAACTCGACTCGCGCGAATGCACTGATCGTGAGCGACTAAAATCACACATGAAGAAATCCATCATGGCGTTACCGTCCCTTTTGTCCGTAATAATGTTTCTGCCATGAAGATTACAATTCACTAATCCTCCAAAATGGATGTGCCGCAGATACATTGCGATAACCGTCAAATTCCGTAATTTCATCGCCCATGTCAATTTGTTGATGTTTTGATCCAAATAAGACAAAAGATTGCCACCGTTAGCGTATTGCATAACGATCATGTACTCGTTTGTTCCTGGGATGTCTGTGATTCCATAAATATCAAACGAAAAACGACAGCGCGTAAACTTGGCACGATTCCTGAACTATTAAATAGAGTCAGCTTAAATGTCACTTTAATTAATACCACCCAATCATTGCTTACCTCGGAAACAAATAATTCTGGCATTTCATCAAAATTCTTAAACCGCTTGAGTACAACAGTTTGTGGCATATGGTCTTCGAGATAGTCTTTATATTTGGCAGTATAGACAGTTGCATAACCTCCGGAACCAATTTCATTGAGTGCATTAAAGTCGCTATAATACATGTACTGTACATGCCTATGCTTTTGTACATAGCTATCCAATAGTGCATGTATGTCGCGGTAAAACACCAAATAAAATTCCCCAGAAAATGGTGCCTGAGTGATTCCGATTATCCAAATATTCTCGGGTGTTAATACATCCGGGTATTCCCTAGTCAGCTATTTGAGTGAAAACACGATATACAGTTATTACAACGTTGGTCGTGTGATGCGCACTCGTCGATTGCATTGTTTACACATACAGTAAAAACAACTCACCTGATGGAAATCAAACGACTGATCATTTTGTGCGGCGACTATTTTTTTGAGCGTCACACGTGTCAATAATCTAATTCTTCTCGATTCTAAATACTCTGCTATATGCGTGCATCCATGGTGCAGTGATGTCATTTCTTGCACGCTTGTTAATTGAGAGTATCCAATCCAATGTATATGCGCATCGTATTTGTTCTTTACATGACTCCACGACTCTGTTATAAATGAATCCAAAGACTTGTTGCCCGTAGTCCAATCTCGTATTTTTGGTGCTTTACAATTAAGACAGAACTCATTTATCTTGGGTTCCAAGTACTGTGTACACGCCAGACATAATCCACCCCGCTCTGGCCTTACTAGACAATACTCTTGCAATACGTTGTCATACGTAAAGCCCATGGTATACCAAACATCCGTTGTAAGAATATCTGGATGCTCATCACATAACTAGCGGAAATAACAGGTCAACAATCATTCAATAGATATGACGCATATACGTAAATAGGTTACCTTAGCATAAAATACATAACCCGTTCGATCATTTATCTCAATTGGAATCAATTGAACATCTTCATGAGTAGGTAGACCATATAAGCGTACCCCACGTTTCCTATCTTCAATATAATCAAATGGAATCCATTCTAAATAGGCGTCATTGGGTGAGCTTGTTTGTAATTGAAATCTCTTTATAAATTCGTCGAGTTGTTTATTGTTGCTAGTCCATCCATCGGATAATTCCTTATGACCGCAAATGCACCACACAGGACTACAGCGGAGTATCCCACATGCGGTACAGAATCCATATCGAGAATAACAATCGTAAAAGCGTTCCTTGGCAACCATGTAATAGTTGTTATCATGTTCGGTAAATCCCATTATCAGTTTGTTGCGGCTTTCAAGCCATATAGAATGTCGTCTAAAGTTGTTGTCGGCGTTATTATACTTGTGTGTTGGGAGTGAGTATATCCTAGAAAACTCGCTCACAAGTGTTGGCGTACATTCTTCGTTATTTCCGATGAATACCAGCGTCTCCTTCAATTCAGTATATGACGTAACATAATACACATTGTTAATTTGAGTTGGTTCTATGTTGGTGATTTCTTCGAGAGGAATCCATCGAAGTCCTGAATAGCGACTTTCACTTTCCAAGGACGATTGAATCAAGTTATCAATCGCTGGATTGTGAACAACCTCAGATGCTAGCGACATGGTTTGAATTACAAAAATTCAAATGCGCAAATATCGATTATTATTGGTCCATGTAATATCAACCACCTGATTAACTCTGTTTACACTTCATAATGATAACACAGATTTGTTACCGATCAAATGGTATATGCGTCGTTAATACAAATCAATTAATATTGCATCAAAGAAAGTGAATCCTAGCTTCTTAAAGAAATAATAATAACAAGAAATATATAAAATCTGTGGCGTGACAACCCACATGAATTATATCTCTCGATCTTTTTTCGACTTGCTGACAACGAAAAAAATATTACCAATTGTTACGCAACGTTAACGCAAGTCACCAATAATATTAAGTCAGGCCACGAATTTTCGATTGCCAGGTTTAATATTCATAGCGTGTTGGTAAGCTTGAATGAGCCGTTGATGTGTAATCACCAACACAATAAAAAAAACAACAATAAATTGCTCGCATTTATTTTAAGGTTGCCTGTCGTTTGCCCGAGGAAACAATTTAAGTTCATGTAGTAAAAGCATACCAAGCACCAAGACTACGAGAGGGGGCGAATAGGAAACACGAAAGCGTGGCGTAATCCCTGCCAAACTGTTATAAATAGTGGTTTTGAGATGTGTAATTTGAACGCTTCAGTTGCATAAACCAAAGCTTAAAAAACAAATCGACTTTTGTTCATAAATCACAAGACGCTGCCAAACTAGAAACAGTATTGTACTTTCATTAAACCGATAATGGTATACAATTACGACAGACAAGTCAAACGTTTTTGAATAAACCAGACGTTGCCGCAGAGTACAGTTGGTATAAAGATATGCTACATAATAAGACAAACTTTTCTTTCTGACTTTTTGTGACGACGACAAACTGAAATAAAGTGACAACATTACGCTGTTGAATGCCTATCCATTCATGCGCGCAAATGTATTCCACAACTCCTTATTTACGAATGTACGGCGTTTGATAAGAATGTGTTGATCTCGCGCTTACAGTTTAATTACGCGAATATTATCTTATCGTAGAAATGTAACAAACAAAATAAGTATTTTAATTTAAAGCCGTATGTTCTATATATTAATATACTGCAACGGTAACCGTTTGTATTGCATAATAATAATCCAGTATAATTTGAAATTTTATTGTTTCTATATAATGGATAGTTTTTCTATTACTATCAATAAAACTTGCTGTAAAAAGCATTAATTGTTCAGAATAATTGGATGTTTATAACGTTCTTCAATGGTTATGTAGTTTAATGTTAGTTATTTGATTACTTTTTATTAGGTGTACATATAAGTTTTCAACGTTTGGTCACGACTTTTGATGTTAAGTATAAGTCTGCTTTTAATGCCTCAATTCTGGTCATGAAATTAGGATTGGAGCGGCTGGCATTACTCCAGATTAAGTCCGTATATGTAAAGAACCAATCAAAGTTTTCGAGGAAATCGGGACCAATCACATCGTAGAATTTTCGAAAAAATTTGGGGAACGCTGTGTGAGTTGGTGCATCATAATAATAAGACAAGTACCAGATGGTGACACGGACAGCAAAAGCCGACAGCATATAACCCACAGAATGTAGCACAGGTAGCGGGGTAATAGTAACAGATTAGTAATTCAAATAAATAACAGATTAGGTAACAATGCTAAAAATAGATCAATTAGTAGCCCAAAAAGATATATTAGCAGGTAAAACTTAGTGTGTTCGCAACGTTCGATTTCCTTATATTTTTATTCCTTATCAATAAATAACGAGTATTCATTTACTCTGACAAAGTAATTCTTTCCTGAATAATCCGTTATATTTTAATCAGTATAATAATAACGGAAAGATCGGTCATAATACTTGTCCCGTGATCGATTGAGTGGCATTACGATAATTAATTATTAATTTATTTCCTTATTAAGACCCCGACTATAGACTACCGAATTAATCCTCCGGTAGAAAATAGTGATTCGTTCAGTCGAGAATAGTTAATTACTTAGGATAGTGTGCGATCCGTATACGATACGTCAGCACGTAAAAGCCTAACTAAAGGTCACTAACGTTTTAGCTATCGCTGAGGTGAACAACGCTCCTACGACGGTAGCTAGATCTCAAACCGAGATAATAGTTATCTGCTCTTCCGTGATTATTGCCTCGACAAATGCAATATTAAGATTGCGATTTGGTCAAAATATTAGCATAATAATAACAGTAACTACATTTGCATAACTACCTGTTAAACAGTCATAACATAATCATGAGTGCTATCACACAAAATGCTGCTGAACAAGGATATGCTGATGCACAATGCATTCTCGGTTGGCATTATTATTTTGGAATTGGAATTGAAAAAAATGAGCAAAAGGCAGTTGAATGGTATCAAAAAGCTGCTGTGAAAGGATATGCTGTAGCACAAAATAGTCTTGGTTGGTGTTATGAAAGTGGAACTGGGGTAGAAAGAAATGAACAAAAGGCAGTTGAATGGTATCAAAAAGCAGCTGAGCAAGGATATGCTCAAGCACAATTTAATCTTGGTCTGTGTTACAGACATGGGACTGTAGTAGAAAAAGATGAGCAAAAGGCAGTTGAATGGTATCAAAAGGCTGCTGAACAAGGAGATGCTCAAGCACAAAATAACCTTCCCCGCCTGAACACTTGGCATGGTTTCTGAACTATTAAATCAAAATAAATACAATGTCAAATTAAATATCACTTTAGTTAACCGCTATTATAATTGCAATTACCTCGGAAATAAATAATTCCGGCGTTTCGTCTTAAACCGTTTGAGTACAACAGTTTCTGGAATACGTTCTTTTCCTTCATATTTAGCAATATAAACTGTTCCGTAACCACCAGATCCGATCTCATTAAGTTCATGAAAATTGCTATATTGGATGTGCTTTACGCGATCATTATTTCGTATAAATCGGTCCAATAGTGTATGCACGTCGTGGTAGAAAACCAAATAATATTCTCGAGTAGATGGCTCTTGAGTGATTCCAACTATCCAAATGTTCTCAGGTGTTAATATCGTTGGGTATTCCTCGATTAGCTATTGAGTATACAAATACAGTCGTTACAATCGATAAGTGTTAAAGTTGATTATTGTTGTATTGTTTACACGTGAAAATTACCTGATAAAAATCAAATGATTGGTCGTCCCTTCCGTCTATCTTTTAGTGTCAATTTATTTGTAAAAATTCCGCTAAATGTGTGCATCGATGACGTAATGATGTCATTTTTTGTACAAGTATTCAATCCATTGTAAATACACATCATCTTCAGTCGTCATATTATTCCATGACTCTGTTATAAATGAATCTAAAGATGTGTTGCCAGTCGTCCAATCGAGCGGTCTCGGTGCTTTACGGTTATAGCAAAATGCGTTTATCTTAGATTCTAACCGATTTGTACATGCCAAACATAACACGCTCTCATCTTGTTCTTTTATGAGGCAGTACTTTTGTTCACTTGCATCATATGTAAATCCGATAGTGATCCAAACATGCGTGGTAAGAATATCTGGATGCTTATCACGTAACTAGTTAAATTGTACATAAATCAATAATTTTTTTTAACAATTGATGAACGCAATACTATGAGTAACAATTGGAAATAGTTTACCTTGTCATTATATGAATCGTCAGTCTTATCCAGCGGAGCCAACGTGACCTCTTCACAAGTTGGTAGTCCATTTAAGTATCTTCCCCTACCACTAATGCAATCAAATGGAATCCATTCCAAATAGGCGTCATTTGCTGAGTATGTTTGTAATTGAGAGTTCTTAATAAACTCGTCGAGTTGCTTATTGTTTGCTGGTCCATCCGTCAGATAATTCCTTATGACCGCAAATGCACCACACAGGACTACATCGGAGTATTCCGCATGCATTGCAGAATCCATACCGAGAGTAGTTATGGTAAAAAGGTCTATAAGCAACCATGTAATAGTTATCAGCATACTTAGTATGAGCCTGTTGGGACAGTCAAGCCATTTTGCATGTCTTCTGAATTGACTGACATCATTGTTGTACTCGTGCGTTGGAAGTGAGTATATTCTCGCAAACTCACTCACAAATGTTGGTGTACATTTTTCGCTACGTCTAAGCATTGCTATCGTATAAGTTGTATTGTAATAGACGTTGTCAATTTGAGTTGGCTCTATGTCGGCGATTAGCGAGCAAGGAATCCATTCAAGTTTATGTTTACTGTCTAAGGAAGACTGCACCAGGTTGTCAATTACTGGATGTTGAATGTTCTCAGCGAACGACATGTTTTTGAATTAAGAAACTTTTCAAACACACGAATTCGGAGACTCAAGAACAACAACTATTGTGTTTATCGTACAGGTTTAATTTCTGCTTGTGTTCCAATTCTGGGATTTGTGGGATTCTGAAATGGGTTGGCTTAAACACAGAAATGAACACCCACCCGCTATCAATTCGCAAGAAGTCTGGAACTTTGCTTAAATAGTTGGCAGTTATAGCGAACAGATTACAATATACAATTATAACAGTTATTGCAATTGTTGTTTGTAGCGTGGTGTGGCTGTTAATATTAGGCTATTAGTGTTAGCAGTTACGATATTCATAACAACGAACTGTTGACAATGGTCTTGCTTAATTAAAATATTGAGTTTTTGTACTATTGTAAGCTTGCGAGTAGGAATTAGATTTAGACTTATCGTTATATTAATATGACATTTTCGGTAATAGTGGCTCTGGAGCTCTGAATGTTCTGATAATGGAATAGTAGAAGTTTCTGGCTTACTACTATATTTAAGTAAGCGATATTAATCGCGAAAGGCTTGTTCTACACACCCGGTATAGTCTGTCTGTGCGGCTTATCTCAAATCGAAGTAGACCAAGACCAACCCCAATATCGTCGTAAAGCGCTACATGTTAATATTAATATTTGGCGCGCGTTAATAATAATCTATTATTATTATTATCATATTGCACGAAAGAACCCGTTACTACAATCAAATGCGCGTATTAAAGGAAGAAGAGAATTGTAATATGACGTTTGATTGTGGAAGGCACTTTCTACTGCAATAGGCACGTAATATAAGTGTATAATCCATGCTGTAGTTTTATGCTTACACAGACAGCTTAGTTTTTTTGCAGCCTGATGATATGAAAATGTGATTCAATTACTCCACTATATTGTAACGTTGGTGGAAAAGATGTCATTGTCACGGATATAAATGGTGGTGCAACATCCGAATACACTCAAAATTGTAAGCCATAACATGAAAAGCATACAACGAAGTTGAGTCATGAAATAGATGCGATTATTGCGTAAATCCATCGCATGCAATTCATGTATATAGTTATTTACATACATTGTTTAAAAAGCGGCTGAGGAAATTTTTTCAAACAGCAGCGTTGTCCTCTTTGTTACTAAGCAGTAGTGCAATTTATATACGTAGCCGATATAAGTTGACGCCTTCAATATTACAATTAGTGGTTTAAGAAAAAGTTCTACTAATCAAATAGAACATCGTTGTGAACACTTTTATAAAACAGTTAAGCCGCTAAAATCACAGTTAACCCATAACTTGAAGACATATTTTATACGTTAACCAATCGGCATCTCTCACAGATGATTGCCCCTGACAAAAAAGGATATACACAAATGGTTTACACAAATGATTGACAAACTGCAAACAATACACGAGTATTACAGGCTTTCAGTTGCGTAAAATTTAGAGTTATAACATGTGCCGCATATTTTCTGGTAATTATTATACTAATATTACATTTCATACAATTTTGCCAAGAATCACTTTGCATATACTTAGCACACATAATATTGGGTAGACGATTTAATCACGTGTAACGTGAGAGATGGGCTTGTGACATGTTTGGCTTAATTAACGCAGGCAATCAACCACATGCATGCATGCAGTTCTGGTTTGGTATACAAACACTGTTACGCTGATGTTATCAAAGTAAATAAAGCACACATTTGACATCCATACGGTGCAACTGGAGTAATGAATGTTATAGTCCCTGAAGCCAAAACAGATCTCGTGCTGTTTAAGACGAAATCAATAAAATACAACGACATTTTGTTCTATGTTTTATTATTGTCCAATCAAAACGTGTATAAGGATTATTACGTGTCATTAAATAGTGTACTACATTATTATTATCCCCCTAATTTTAGATAATATGATATGCACGATCAATTGAAAATGTTTAATCCGAAAGTTACTTTTTAGAATTAATTACGAGTCGCCTATTGCGCGCTTTAATAAACAAACGCTGCATCAATTATGTGTTTCTGATATTGTCGGCTTCAAGCGAGTAGGCTTTTGTATTTTTTGTCTATTACCAGTCCGTTAACCAAATTATGTGGGAGAAATAATTCAAGAAAGTAGATGTATATTCTCCTGTAAATACGTCTATACGAAAAAAAATTAATTTGCATATTATTTATCTACGATTATTTGAATAGTCAATTTTTTTTTATCAAACAAAAGACACTATCAAAAAGTTTGGTTTTTTTTTAAATATTTTTAATTGAATCAAAAATTTCAGAAAACAATACGTTATTAGAATCTTTAACACTTGATAAACAAAAAGTGACTGAGAAAAGAATATCAAAAGCTTGATCAAAAAGTTGGTTATCAAAATTGTTTCTCGGGGTGTCGGTACAGCAGGTCCACAAACACACTACTTCTGATTTCTGCGGCCAAGAATAATCTTATTTTTGTGCTAAGTTATTTGACTTTGGGAATGGAATGCCAAGATTACTTTTGATTGGCCAAACGTTTATTAGCTATCAAGAATTATTCTCAATCCATGTATATGTACTGACATAGTAAACAGTAGTTAGTCGTCAGAGTATGTGAGAGCAATTAAAGATCTTATGCCAATCATTCACTTTGACAAACAGTGTCAAAATTTGCACAGATAATGTGAACGTTGACGTTTAATAAAAAGCTCGTAAAGGTTTAAAAATACTGTATAAATATTACCTTCGTTATATTATTTTTAACGACAGTAGTTTGTAGGCTGAATAAAGAACTAAATTGACATTACATTTAATAAAAAACATTATCTTGTTGAATCTGTTCTTACGCAAAATACATGTATATCAAGCTTTGTCTTTTCATCAATGTTTTTAGCTTGTTGTGGACTATCTCAGCGTAATGTTTGCTTCTCACTTAGCTCAAAAATTCTATGAAAAGTTCGGACTTCATTATCTTAAAATTCTATAAAAAAAGCTTTACCAGTTTTTTATAATTATAGTCTCGAGTTTGTAATTATGTAGACACAATGAAGAGTATTTTTGAGCAAATTAACTGATATAAAAAGAAAACGTGTGTATCGTTTTCGATAACATACGCGGACTTGATTACTATTATCCAATAAAATCAATTACAGCATTTTTGGTTATGATGTTAATTAATTAATTGATAATAAAGAGGTTAATCTGTCTCTTTATATTTTTTTATATTACGGCGTTATTTGGGTCAAAATTTTTACTGTAAAAAGGTTGTCATGCCAGGCATTTTCAGCGAAGCCAATATTATCATGTTTTATTAATTATAAACTATGTTTTTTCTACTTTTACCTTTTATTAGTAAAAATTTTCCCACCACTGCATTACAGTAAAAAAAGACCTGTCAAGGATTCCTGTTGCTCAAACAATAAAACATGCACAATATTGCAGTATGATTGGTGACACAATTTTAACATGGCAAAATGGGAATGACGTTAATTTTATACAAGATGCAAATAATTTAAGTTACAACGGACAATTTTTATTTGAGGTGGCATCGCTGTATTGAATTAGTAGCAAAACAAGTAAACGTTTTAATCAAACATATTAAATGTATTGACCCTTATATGTACTCGTTGTATTACTTGTCTTTATATCGGTCTCTCCTTAGACTGGTTATTCCGGGAATGAGCTGACCCGTATAAAGAAATTTTACATATTTGAAATTTTTGCTACTAAGAATATTTTAGTTTTTTTATGTTGTTAAGGTGTGTTGCACGATACAACCCGACTTTTGGATTTGGCAATTTGAAATTGCGCGATTCGGATTTGTTAATAACAAACAATGTTGTGTTACAACGGTGCAATTGGTCCGGGCGGCGAACATTATTGTATACATGCATATAATTTCAAATCGTCAGTCACTTTGTAAAATACCAAAGAACCATTTATTGATGATCCTGTGATTGTATGTTGCATATTTTGTTCCAATACGAATTAAATCTTTGCTAGCAACAGTAGGCTGGTGTCATTTTACTGTCCCGTTTTACCACAATTATTAGGACAATCAGCGGGCATGTTGTTATATGGTATTAGTATATAGATATGCAATTATGTCAGCGAGAATAGTAATACTTTGGAACAGTGGGTTTTCAAATGGCAAATACTATCGTTATTATTATCGTTATTATTATCGTTATTATATCGAGTCAGACATATATATTTACAATTACGTGGGTCAGATGTTAGTCTTTTCGCTCATAACCGTTGTGTGCAACCACACATAATAATAATAACCGTCTTTGCAAATAAAGCTTGTTTATTTGAAATTATGGCTGAGGCTTGGCATGTTGCTTCATTAGTATTAGATATACATTGTATGCTTTGGTTGTGCTACCATCACTTTGCTTATAAATACTGCCATCCACGTCTCCCTCCTGGATCTCAAGGCTCGCAAGTGACCAGAACGAGTATGCATAGAGTTTAGACTGTGCTATCAAGAAACTTGTACAATATAATAGCATTAATTCAGATTTGCACTGATACATAATTCATGACTGTATAATAGAAGCTTCACGAAAATAATTTAAGCAGACATTACATCTAAATAGAAAACCTGCATTAGAACTCTCTTACTGAAAAGAAATGTTACCCACACTTATCCGCAAATTATCACCTTCCGACCACCCACTGTTACCCACCAGTCGATTCAGCAAGGACCACCGCACATTTTCACTTCCTAGCATTCGAAAAATAATCACATATTTCATTTTCTTGGCCGCATTTCTTTGCATTGTTCCAGTGATAATTTACGACGACTATCTGTCAGATTACGATAAGATTCAAGAGTTATCTGCAAAATATAACTGCCCTATAGAAACCGTGAATGAGTTTAGCCAAGATTTCGGGAAACATATATTCTGTAGAATCAGTCAGAGTCGAGGGAAGGGCGTTCCGAATTATGTCGTGCCCAAAGCACAAACGAATAAAAATGATAACACTAATGAGAAATATCTAACCTGGCTTCCGCATAGCAATCTTGAACTACAACACACAGCGCTCGAAAATGCTCTTCTCCTGGCTCGTTATACCAATCGCACTCTTATCATCCCACCTGCAATTCTTGGGCGATCGAACCCCTGGCGCGTTTTCTCCAAGTTGTACAATAGCACTATTAATACTCACAAGAATAACAATCTCCACTGTACGTTCTATGCCGGTGATAGTTCGTCTGCGGTACCCGATTCGTGCAAACAGATAAACGAATGGACCTTGGTTGAATGGGACAGCCTATACGGTCGATTAAAGTCATTTATGGAAGAACAACATATCAGATCAGTATTTACCAGAAATGTATCGATAGAATGGATAATGGCAAATACGGGAGCAAAGGCGGAAGACTTGCATTACTTTAAAGATGGCGTTCACTATGGAGCAAAAATTTATGACGACAACAGATCGAGAACACCTTTGGGCAGATTCATCGCCAAGTTGGATTTAGACAATCTCAAACAGGTTCCCCACAAAGTGATCTATTTCGAGAGCTTGGCTGGTGCGGACAGAGTGCTTCACGAGCTTTCCGATAATAATAATTGGTACCAAAAAATGACATCCGAACTTGTCTTTACATACCCGGGGATTCTCTCTACTGCAAATCGCATAATATCAAAACTCGGGAATCCCAACAAGTATCTCGGCATCCATGTCCGGTTGAGTGATAGCTATTATCGCGGCGAACAAGATACAACGGTGCGCACTATAATAAAGTCGATGGAATCATTGTCTGGTGTACAGAGCTTTACCGCTCGGCCTTTGGAAGTTGTCAAACAAATCGAAGGCGACAACGGCGACGACGGGGGCGACGACGGGGGCGAAGAGTATGCAGAGAAATGCGCCAACAAGATGATATACATGGCAACAGAGATAAAACGCTCGCGCACCGTTAAAGTATTCCGAGACTTGTACGAGAGATTCGGCTGCATACGAACACTGAATGATTTCAAAGACGAGCTGTCCAACCTGGACTTGATCAGAAATAGCGCTTTTGATGATATCCCGATGAAGCATTTTTTGATTCCGATAGTTGATATGGTGGTTGTCGCACGTGGAAGGGCGTTTGTTGGAACGCCTGATAGCAGCTTTAGCGAGCATGCGAGAAGACTCTACCGAGTGTTTTGGAAGTGGGATCTTGAGAACAAATGGAATGCGTATGTTGATAGTGATGTCGAAGCGATAAAGTTTTATACCGGCAATAATGGTGCGGGTGAGAATGGCGGTGAGAGCATTGGTGAAGGAGAGGATACTGTAGACAATCTTGAAAAGAATATAAACGTTGCCGATAATGATGTAACCAAGCCGGGCCCTGGAGACTCTACCTTGCTGATGGATGACGATCAACTCTGGGTATACGCATCAACCTTATCAACAGCAAAACCTATAGAAGAGTCGGCAACTCCATCAAATGCGGAAACAGCTAGTATATGACATTTTATATATTTTCAAATGTACAATACATAACGATCATGCAAGTCTTTTGAACTAATACTAATAAATCAAAAAGCATGAGCAAGATTAAATGCGAATAGCCTTTTCGGGTCATTTATACATCGTGTCATGTGTGACGTCTAATCGATCATATTTAATGGTACTAGTGCATGTGGCGATAATTAAAAATTTTACCCGGTTTGGGTTAGCATTCTTTGATTCAACTAATATGAAAATACATTCCTAAAAGGTGTTCATAATATTCCACCTTTGACCACTCCTAATTAAAAAATATGGAAATCGTTCATATACCAACATCCATGCGTGAATTTGAGTTCGCCGCTCGGAATTTTATTACTAACATTATTAGCAAATGGCCCCCACCATCGAATCAAATGATCTTATGCTTTCCCCCATAAAACTGCTACTGTAGGAGTTACTACTTTTTTGCAGCCTTTCTTTACGGCATACATTGCTCATATGAGTAATTTTAAAAGCAAGGGATTTTTATCCCTAAACTCTCGCTCATTCCATCATCATCGACGTCGGTTTGCTCCACAGCTATTATTGATTTTAACTTTTCTTGCGGCGATTTATATCTTTCTCTACGACACATTATATATCGATATCGTCGAACAAGTGGTCTATAACTCAGGAGGAAGCGGATCATTAGAGGAACCATGGCACGATTACACATTATATTTCGATCCCATCGAACAAGAGCCTGTGGTCTTTAACTCGGGAGGAAGCGGACCATTAGAGGATCCAGGGTTCGATTATGGATTTGATAGTTATATTTGGGATGGCAAAAAGAGTAACAAGAAGAGTGGCAAAAATGGTGGTAGCAAGAGTAACAACAAGGGCGGTAACAATGGCGGTAACAAGGGTGGTAGCAAGAGTAACGGTAACAAGGGCGGTAACAAGAGTAACAGTAACAAGGGCGGCGGTAACAAGAGTAACAACAAGGGTGGTAGCAAGAGTAACAACAATGGTGGCAACAAGGGTAACAACAATGGCGGTAACAAGGGCGGTAACAAGGGTGGTGGTAACAAGGGCGGCAACAAGGGCGGCAACAAGGGTGGCAACAAGGGTAGCAACAACAAGGGTAGCGACGGAAATGTTAGTCCCATCAAAACTCCAGATAATCAGAAAAAGTTCGCTCTGTTCTGGCCATTTAGCAAGTCAGGCGACATTATTCCCATAGATTCTGAATACGGTTTCAACCTGACGTCACGAATAAAGGTGATCGATGAAGTACCTATATATCAGGTACCGTCAGGACTGTCTGAACCCGGAGAGAAGTACCTTACATACTTGCCACATAGTCAGTTCAACAATCAACGTATATCCCTAGAGAACGCTCTCATGCTTGCATATTACACCAACAGAACGTTGATCTTACCTCCATTGATTCTTGGCGCACACAAAGTGGCTTGGCTCCCATTCCAGCAACTATACAATTCACTACAAGCCCTCAAGAAACGGCGTTCCCGCGAAAAATGTGTCAACTCGCGCTACCATAACATATGCGACTACTGGGACAGTTGGAGTCTGATCAGATGGGACGAAATATTCGGAAACGTTCCGCGATTTGCCGAGGCAGAGGGTCTGAGAATAGAATGGTCGAATGACTTTTCGTTAGGCAAGCTGAAATCAAAGTACAATCTGACAAACGACGATATACATTACCTGCGCGATGCGGTAAGGTACGGTGCAAAGATATACGATGACCCGCAGAGCACAACTCCGCTCGGCGTATACCAGGCCAGACTACCTCTCGCGGCGTTACAGGCCATCCCGCATAAACTCATCTACTTTGAATCACTTTACGGTCCCGACCGAGCACTGTACGAACTACCCGAACATTATGCATTCAACCAACGGATGGTTCGCGAGCTGGTATACACACACCCGGGAGTAAAATCCGTAGCCGAAAAGATAATTTCACTTCTTGGCGGCAAGGGTACATACGTCGGTGTGCACGTTCGCGGCAGTGACAGTGACTCTTACTTTGGCAATGCGATGGCACGTACCATAGAATCATTAAGCGCGCACGTAAAAGAATTGCAAGTTTCCCGCAAGCAGCATGCCGAACATGCATCCTTTGGCACTCACGAACATTGCCTTCACAATTCCACTTCTGTTCCCATATACGTTGCAACAGATATTTCCCAGCCGCGCACAGACAAGATGTCAAAGCAACTGTTTGAAATGTTTTCTTGTGTGCTGACAATGTCTGATTTTGAATCGTTCACGCATGAACTTGATGCGTTCGTCAACGAGAACGACGGCTTGCCGATGAAACGGTATTTGCTTCCCATGATTGATATGGTGGTTGCTGCTCAGGGAAAGACATTCGTTGGAACGCCGTTAAGTACATTCAGTATATTTGCGGCAAGGTTACATGAGTTGTCTATTGAGAATGGCGGGAATGTGTGAACCAAACATTGATATGAAGAGGGTAGTTTCGTAAAAGCTGATTCTTTATTAAGAAAAACAATAGAAAATTTATTAATGTAATAATTATTAATAGCAATAGGTCTATACTGTACTCAGGATACAATTTTATCTCATTCCCAGACTGTAATATATTTAGGAATAGTTTCTGTTAACACGTTGGCGATTACAACCAAATTTGGTGGAGATTAATATTACTGATTCCTATTACTACCTTACTCGGATTTGTGCAAGACGAATGTCACGTCGGAATGGATGTTAATATATCTGGGCAGTCGCTGAGACGACTGGAAGTGCGTTACGCAATTCCCAACATTATATCGCTAGCTTGTCCCTGTCATCAGACATTGAACCTAGTAACTAAATTACTGTCATATTAAACTCAACTGTCAGTAGCCCGAGAAATCTAGAAATGTATTTTGCTTCATATGCTGTATATCGGGCCTTTTCAATCGCCAGATTTGATGAACTCGATCATTGGCTTGCGTTAAACCCTGGGCCTTAAAAAGTGGGAGAGAATTCCGAAGAACATATTTGATAGTACGCCTAGCATCATTGGCTGATAATAATAAAGTACTCATATTGTCAAATTACAGGGTTATGATTGATTGTCAACTCTTGGAGTCTTAATCTCTTTCAGGCAAAAAGTTGTGGCTTCTCCTTTTAGAGTTAACTAGCTAATCTATGCTCAGACTCGGCAAGAATCTGGATAGGCAAATCAAATTTTACTTTGCGATCTCGACATATATAGTTGGTATACTTGCGTCCGGCAAGTTTCATTTGCGTTGTTAAACTTGCATCGTTAGGGGCTACATTATCATTAAAAGAGTGGAGTGGCGATAGATCTTCGACGGATTGATACCATCGATAAGCAGTGGAATGAATCAAGGGTTTGATTCTTGCAAAATAAAAAAGTGCCAGACATTTTATTTAATCGAAAGATTTTCTTGCATTCTAGTCACAAAACACCTATTGCGTTTTAAATACTATTATCCAATGTCAAATGAAAGTAATCACGATGAAGAGTTGGGCAAGATAATTTTGCGAATGCATGAATCGTTTTGGGAGAGGTATAAAAACAGTGTTAGGAAACGCGAAACCAACTGAAAAGCTTAAACTGACTAGAACGTAGTTACGCATTTTTATTCAGTATCATAAATTTTAAATAATGACTGCTATATTATATACTCAAATAGTCTGAAAGAAGTCTAACAGTAGACGTGTCACTCATGTTGACACATTTAATATATCTATTGGAAGAAAAGTGAACTCTTTGAGGAAAACTCGTTAAATAAACCGCGAATTACAAGAGCGTATGTGTCACTAAATTATTAGATAATGAAGTGATGTTAATATTAATATTGTAAATTGACTTTATTTTGTACCAACGCGTAACATACCTGCAGCTGAATCCAAATCATAACTATTTCTCGGTTTAAGCAAAGCTCCAGTAGGTAAGAGTGTGCTGGAATATTTACTCTCTTTCTCGAGACGTGATAATGGCTTTACATTAGTATGATAGATAGTATTCCACACAGATTTATCCTTTTCCACATCTTTAATAATGTTAAAAATATCATTGTAAAGCATCCTTCCATTCATTGGACGCTTATCAGGATCAGCATCACAACACCGCTCGGCAAGTTTCTTGTATTCCTCTGGCGCAGAATCAGGCAT